AACACATGCTGGTKCCATATCTCAAAGTTGGCCTGGGCTGTGTCTGCCAAAAAATCAATGCTCTATATTTAGTTGCATCATTCATTAGTACTACCCTCATTAAACCAATTAGTTCCAACCATTAATCCYGTGTGTACCACAGGTTCAGTCACTCCACCATGACAGTGCGGGTCTTCCCTTSACAAAGCCAGTGAGGATTTCCCTCACCTGCACTGAGGGCCAGCACTGCTCACATGGATCCAGCATTTCAGAAGCCACAGTGAGACATGGCCCACTATGGAAAGCAACTTCCTACTTATGAAGGAARAGTGGCTTTGTTTGGCAGGGTCTACAAATTAAGCTTCAGAATAAACTGAGGAAGGAGTTTAACTCCCCCACACTGCTCCATTTAACCAGAGCATGGCTGTGAGCACCCAGGCTGGTTCCAAATGCACAGCCAAGGGGACCAGTGGAGAGCAGTGATGATAAAAAGCCTCACCAGGCTGCAAAGTCGTTTGCCATGAGCAACAGGCAAGTGGGTTTGCTCACAGCTGCCACCACGTCCCAGGAATTCCTCAGGGCACAAGTCAAGTGCAGTCACACAGGGCAAGGTACCCAAACCAACCCTGAGATCCAGATGCCTCTGCAATACCTTCCTGCAACCCTGGAGTGTCAACTGAATGTAAGGAAGGGAGCAGGTATTTGGTAAGAGCTCACAGAGCAAAGCCCCCAGCCCCCCAAGGCTGAGCACAGCYAACAGCACAGAATGGTGAAAGCAGCAGGTCCCCTGCTCCCTGGGATGTCCCATAACCACCCCGTTACCTTTCTCCGCCTGTCCTCCTCCGCATATTTCTCAGCATTCTTCACCATGTTCTCAATTTCATCTTTGCTAAGGCCGCCAGAGGACTGGATAACAACTGCAGCAGAGGAGAACATGAATCAAGGAGATGCTCTCACCTCTGAGGAGAGGATTATTCCCCAACCTAACAGCAGCAGCCTCAGAGACTGCACCCAGGGAGGCCCCGTGGGCAGGACAAGGACAGGCAGCTTCCAAAGAGGCACTGATGTTGCTGGCAAGATAAAAGCCTCATCTCCTGCATCTACAACTCCCCAGCTCTTCCACACAGTTCCTGCCTGCTGGTCTGCAAGTCACTGGCTGGTCTTCAGTTAATCCTCCTGGAAAGCGAGGTGCACCAAAGTGCCCAAACCAAAGGAGTATTCCAGGTTAAAACCACAGAATTAAAAAAGCATCCCCAAACAAAAMGCCCTTCCCAAAACCCAACCAAACAAAAAAACCYACCAGCAAAAACCATACCAACAAAAAAATCCAAAGAGAAGGAACGGTTTCACCAAAGATTCCTTTCCCTGTTGGAAAGCAGCCCAGACTGGTGACAGGATAAGACATTCCCCACCCAGCTCCTCATATTGCCCTTAAGAAGGAAATGTAGCATGATTCCAGGGGCAGGTTCTTACATGTCGCCTCCTTGGTCTTTTTCCCTCTGTTAGTGTCAAAAAGCATACCTACACTTGGGCTTTAGTGCAGAATTGTCTAATTTCATTGCAAGAGGACCAGCTCCTAGGGTGTCACAATGCCCAAAGTGCATACTACAATCACATTAAAAGGAATTTTTTTGTGGAAAATTTGTCAATGGTACAAAACCCTGAAAAAAGACACACASAGGTGTCCTTTGGATACAGATGGGGAATGAGCTATTCAGCTTTGTAATTAGCACCACATCTACATACAGGGAGGCAGCTAAATAAAATTCTGGTTGTTACCAGGARCCTTTTAATCAGCAGTAGAAGGTTGCCACACATGAAAAATCTCCAAGGAAATCAAGTAACAAGGAGTGTGGTTTTGGTACCAAATTGCTGCCAAAAGACCAAGCATTGTGATTTACACACACCTTTGAGATGTGCATAGTTGATACTTTTGTTAACTGGAGCATTTCACTGCTCAAGGGYTCTCTCCAAGAAACAACCGAAAGGYAGTATAAACACTTCCCAGTTAGAAAGAAGAGATCTATTTTGTATCAGGGAAATCTGTAAACACTTCAAATTAATCTCCTGAACCCATGACAGAGCTTTAGAAACCATCAATTGTGTCATTAATTACCCCAGCACACAGGGCACAACATTTTACTGCATCACAGAGCAGAATACACTGACAGCTTGAACTCCCTGAGCCTCCCGCCAGCAGGAGACACTTCCAGCCTAAGTGGATGAAAACGAACAAGGTGGTTACAGGGAAAACCTGCTGCTTCAGGAGATGGGAATCTCCAGACCTTTTTAATAGAGTAATTACAAACAAACAGGGCCTTGGSACAGGTCTGTTCAGCTGAACACAACACACTTTGGAGTCAGAGATACTCCTGATTGGATTTCTCTTCCTAAAAGCTGGCACTTCCTGCAGCCAGGCTCACAGACAGCGATCTCTGGGTATTCCCAAAGGAATAGCATATCCAGCAGCACAGCTCAAGGAMAACTCCTACAGGGTGCTGAATTCCYAAACCCCAATTTYTGTCCCTTCAGGGTACCACAGGGCAGGTGTRACTGCCCCACACACCCTGGTGACACAGGACACTCCCGTGATGCAGCAGGAGCATGGCCCACCAACACCAGGAAGCCCTCATGAGCCAMCCTGTGTGCCCAACACCTGGGCACTAGGGCACAGCTGATCCATGCAGCAAACCCAGGAAACAGCAGCACTCTGCTCCAATGTTGCTGCAGTTATTCCAGGAAATGGCAAGACCCAGGCAGGACTGTCACACAGGCAGAACAAACTGGAATATGACGAAACTCAGCCAGTGAGGAGTGCCTTGACATTGGCACAGGCAGGTGCTTCACCTCTGCCTAACACACACTGAGAGCCCACTGGCAGCAGTCTCTCTCAGGAGATCACCGGGGAGGGCAGAGACTGTGTGGCCACAGGACCTTCACTGCCTTAAAACAAACACACACCTCAGCTCTCACTCCTCCCTTTGCCCACCTCCTTTTGCCCTTCTCTTCAGGGGAGACACTCAGGCTCAGATGACTTCAGCTGCATCTGTGCTGCAGTGGCAACACACTGAGGAGTAAGGGTGACCCCAGCATCGAGGCACACACTCCATCCCCAGCCTGGACTGCAGGATGCCATTAGGGCAGCACTCCATTCCCKCTGGAGTCACTCAGGGCTCTCCTCAGTGCTCCCTCCCTGTCCCTGGCAGGCCCCAGAGCACTCACTCTGCTGCTCCCGCCCGGTGCCCTTGTCCTTGGCTGACACGTGCACGATGCCGTTGGCGTCRATGTCAAAGGTGACCTCGATCTGGGGCACTCCCCGCGGCGCCGGAGGGATCCCGACCTGAGGGATGAAAAGGGTTGGCTGTGAGCTCCCCAGGGACAGAACTCAGGGGACCAGGGCTGGACACATCACCCTGGGGACCTGACAGTGCATGAACCACTAACCAACCCTCAGAGCAGAGTGTTCTCCATCAGTACCTGTGGGCACCATGCTGTACACCGGAATCTTGACAGATTTAACAGGTTTCTGCCCTGGACAAGTGTACAGAAACCACAAGGAGAACCCCCAAGTTGCGTTCCAAGGTGATACAGGCTCTGCTTTATTGCTACACAAGCTCTTTTTCCATAGCCATGGCAGGATGCTCCATTTCCTCAGTTCTGCACAGACTTCACTGGCCATCTCTGAGGGACCATTTCAGGACAGCAAGAGGCAGCACAGCTTACTTCAAAAGTATGAAAGAAAGGCAAAGCCCTTCCTTTCTGCAGGTTCAGACAAACTTGAACAGTTCAACAGAGCCAAACTTCACCAGCGCTGACCAAAGCCATTCTGCACAGGGGGCTGGCTGGGCAGCCACCCTCTGCTCACAGCAATCCTGCAGCACATCTGTTCCYCAGGGAGCAGGGCATGGGGCTCAGTTTACAAAGTCTCCACACAATTCTTCTTCAGAATGATGTGTTGACAGTTTAACATCATGGCACASCCCCTGCAATCCCAACCAGGCCACARATATCCTGGGATACCTGGGCCCACACTGACTGCACTCACAGGGGCCACTAGGCTGGAATGGGTTCCCCTGGGGGCTGCAGGTATCATGCAGCCTGCTCCAAGACCCATTTTGCAGCACCAGAGCAAAGGCCAGTATTCAGGTTATCTGCTGCACAGGCTTTTTTATACCCAGAAAGACCTTCTRGGTGACCAGGCCCTAAAGCTGCAGCAGCCCCAGTGCCACATGACACTGCTCAGAACCTCTGAGCTCCATCTTAAATGCCAGCTGCTCCTGCCACAGCAGTGCTGTCCCAGGGTCAGGCTGGGCCTCTGGAAGCTGCTTTTGTACTACAAACGTGGTTAAATGTCTTCTGTAAGATGACTCCCCCTCAATACTGCCTTCAGGGGGCAGCTGAAATGGAGAAGGCTCTGAATGTCCCCAAGAAGGTCAAGTCTGAGGTCATGAAATAGARATGCCAACATACCAACGTGAACTGGCCAAGCAGTTTGTTGTCACTAGCCATCTCTCTCTCTCCCTGGCACACTTTGATCTCCACTTGTGTTTGMCCATCAGCAGCTGTAGAAAACACCTGTGGAAAAGGAACAGAGTTACTGTATARCTAAATAGAACAACAAACTGATGCAGTTACAAGCTGATTGAACAAGGAATAAAAGGAAGCTACTTGGAAGGGAAAATCATTAAATGCTTCTTGTTCTCATGTTCCTCTGACAAAACTGAAAGGCATCAAGGCTAGCAGGGGCTGGTCCTGTGTGCACCTGGGGACACAAAACTGGCCCTCCTGGCAGCAGCAGTTCCATGGCAGCCACCACACCCCAGAACATCTGCCCCTGAAGCAGCAGGCTCCATCCCATGCCCCCAGGCAGCTGAGGTGTTATCAGTGACAGCACAGCAGCAGGCCCAGACAGGGCCAAGGGAAGGAAAGGATCACACCCACGTTACCAGGACATCACAATGCAGAAGAAAGATAACCCCTTGARAGGCACACAGCCAAGCAAGGTGCTCTCCCATGGGCATGGTGCTCAGTTCCATGATATCTCCACATAATTCTTCTTCAGAATGATGTGTTGACAGTTTAACATCAWGGCACACACACTGCAACAACCCTGCCCAGGCCACAAACATCCTGGCATATCTTGGCACCCATTAAACTCAACTGCCTGCCCCTCCTGGGCACACCAATAATCAGAGATACTCAGTGGCTGACATGAAACCTGATCTCTTCACTGCTTCTCTTGCCAGATGAGGAGGTAAGACCATCTGCTGGGGGTGCTTTGAGTGGCCTTGCCTGAGCTGAGGGCACCAGCAAAGTCCCACCCATCCAGAGTCAACTCTTACCTGGCTCTTCTTGGTGGGAATGGTGGTGTTCCTGTTGATGAGCTTTGTGAAGACCCCTCCCAGGGTCTCAATGCCCAGGGAGAGGGGAGTTACATCCAGTAGCAGCACATCTGTTACATCACCAGCCAACACCCCACCTTGGATAGCTGCTCCAATGGCCACGGCCTCGTCAGGATTGACTGCTTTGCTTGGAGCACGGCCAAACAATTCCTGCACAGTCTGCTGCACCTGAATGGAGACACAGCACAGCTCAATCATGGGGAACCACCATGGCCACACAGCAGCCTTGGCACAGCTTGGTGTCCTTACGCTGCTGCTGCCGCCAGGGAAGCTTCTGGCATGAAGGAAACCCTGAGCCTCAGGTCTGTTGCTGCTCCCTCCTTGCCCACCCTCCTGCACACCACTAAATGCTCTCATTCCAGCCCAGACACCTTCTCCAGAGGCTCTGTCTGCCAGCTGCAGGGAAGCCTCCATCAGTGCCTTCACACAGCCCAGATCACAGGGAGCACTCCACGCTTATCTGGGAGTCAAGGACTGTTCCCAGGGAACCGTGCATGCCAACACTGAGCAGGACAAAGCTGTCAAGGACAGGACAGCTCTGGAGGCAGAGCACAAGGAAGGTAAAAAAAAAAACTCCAGCCGGACAATTTGTGCTGTTTGTGTGCAGTAAAGGGAAAAAAAGGGAAATTGTCTGAAGAACAGTATTTTCCAACTCCATATTTCATGGGTTGTTTCAGCAGAGCAGCTGTGCTGTATAAGCACTCTGAGCTCTGCTGTCAGCTGGCACTGCTCGGCCCATTCTGCAGGGCTGCACTCACGATTCCAACACAATTYCTGCTGAAGCATCCACATGGGAATGCACTCAGGGTGTGCCCCAGAGCACAGCTCAGAACTGCCCTCCTAGGGAAGGCTGTGGTGCTCCCCTCCAAGCACAGGTGTTGGTCACACCAGCACAGGTGAGTGGGATGTGCCTGGAAAACTGCACTGGATACAAACACCACAGCCAGGAGAGCCACACCTACYCAGAGTGTTCATTACAGAGGAAGATTCTGTAAGTTTTGTGTGAGCATGTAATTAAATGCAAGTCTTTCCCTCTGGAGGTGTATTTTAATGTACAAAATAATACTTCTAACCACCCACGGTTCACCTCCTGCATTACTGACCACAGGAACGCTCTGGAAAAGCCACAGTCCCTCTTAGCAGGAGGAAGAGGGCAGAACAACATACCCAAGAGAAGGTTTGGGCAGTGTACAACACTGGCACTAACACAGAGGCAGAGCTGTAACTACAGGCACTCAGGAAAGCATTCTGTCAGCTCAAGCCAGATGCTGGGGGTTATGAGGGGAAGAAGGAAAAACAAAAATCAATATTTAAGTTCTGTTTTCCATCCCTAAAGGATCCATGTTTCAGGAAAAGGCTTCGTGTTTGTCATCACTTTATACATAGGTAATCACATAAATTTTCCTTTATCCAGCTGGAAAAACAAGGACTTTGGGGATGTATAGTAATTACTCCACATGAGCTTTGGCCAGAGCAGGAGCTTCTGTTTATCTTGCTGCTCTGGGTCCCCTGCCCRGAAGGGTGACCTTCTGCTCACACCAGTATCACCTCCAGCTGCCAGGCTCATCAGTACAGGGAGGAAAAACCCTCCCACCAAACCCCAAATCAACCCCGAGCAGGACCACATACACACCTACTGTCCTAGAGAGGATCTGCAAATCACAAATCTTAACAGCAAACAAATAGTCCAAGCCTGACTGAATCCCTCTGGAGTGAGACTTTGGTGTTCTCTGCAGGAAAGGACACACTGTACCCTTGGATAGATCAGTGAACATCCCTGTTCAGCTCTGGGATGGAGGGCAGCAGCAGGCATGGCTGTAACAGGAGCAGTAAATCACTTGCAGACAGCAGCTTTTCTGCAAGACTCGGCATGTCAGCACAGCAGGCTTTAAAGCTTCCTGCTGCTGCTATCTCCACAGAATGTAAGGGCCAAGCTTTAAATAAAGARTGTCTGCAAGAGCCAGGAAAATGGGCCTGCCAACACCAGCCTCCAACAGGTAGCTCTGAATACAGAACACCTCTGCACAAACACAACCAGCAGGTCCTAAAGCAGTTGTGCTCACCCAGCTTCTTCACAGCTAAAGGTGCTCTACACAGACAGGAAATCCCCTGGAAGTCACAGATTACTGAGAAGTGGCTGTCATTGAAAGGTACTTTTACCATACAAGAGGAAATGCCCCACACTTCTCAACAGTGCTGCTCATGGCCAGTGCACACCAAAATGTCAGGCTGCAGCTGGACTTTCACCTCCCACTTTACTCTGTAWAGTGCAACTCAGCTCCAACCCCCAGATCCCAGCTGAGCTAAGCAAACAGAACGAGAGGCCCTGGGCAGTGCTTCCCTGCGATCCTGAGCACTGAGTCTGCTCTGAGCACKCGCAGCTCTTCTGTTCCAGATCCCCCCAAACAGCAAGTACAGCTGTGCCAGCCCTGCCTGGAACAGGCACTGAGCTCATACCTTTGGCATTCTGGTCATGCCACCGACAAGGATGACTTCCCCAATGTCACTCTTGCTGACTTCAGCATCCTGCATGGCTTTCTGGCAGGGATTCACTGTCCTCTTGATCAGGTCAGCTACGATGCCCTCAAACTGCGCCCGACTCAGCTTCATGTTCAAGTGCTTTGGTCCAGAGGCGTCCATGGTCAGGTAGGGCAGGTTGATGTCAGTCTGTGGCATGGAACAGGCTCACAGTGAAAACCAGGAATGGGCTTTAGATCAGCTTACAAGTCCTCTTTGGCCTGTGCTAAAGCATCTCTGCGGCTGTTCACCCTCCAGCCCAGTTTAAGTGGCAGCAGGCACACTTTTATCTTTGACATTTCAAAGAAAAGACGATTCTTTTGTTCGACACCTCATAGTTATAACTGTTAATCCCCAGTCTTAATACTGTGCTATTTCAAGATATTTCACTGTTGAAAAAATAAAMTTTATTTGTCATAGCCAGGAAGCAAGAGCAGGAACACTGAAAGTGGCAACCTTAATCCCATTCCTTCAGCACAACCCAGAAGAAAGCCCATCTTCAGAGTTCCCAAATATTCTGCCAACTGACACTCCATACCAGGTAAATGCCTTGAAGAAAATAACTCATGGCTGTTTTCTTAATGCCAGCAATGTCAAACAGCCAGCCTACTGCCACTTAACACAAASTTAGAGCAAGAGACCGTAATCTCCACTTCACATGGTTATTCGTGAGTGACCTTACAAACTCACATGCTGGATTTATAAAGCAAATCTTATAYTGAAATCCTCTGATTGAAGTGCTGAGTCATGCTGACATCAAAAGATGCTACAAACCAAAGCAATTAAAACATTAGTGTTCTAAACTCTAGAGATTAAGTTTACACAAGAATTAAAGCCATGCTGCTGACTAGAGGTGTGCATTCACTYTATAAACAGCATGGTCAAAAGCATCAGGGGAAAATGGGGCCAAAAGCAAGTTGTTTCCCTTCACTGCTAWCTAAAGAGTTAAGGAATTCAGTCTTTCCTGGTATGAACAAACTACACTTGCCAGATCTTGAGCTCATAAAACAGAGCTTGCTATGTCTCTGGCAGAACTATGTACCCATTGTGACTGCCCTCAACTCCTTGCTATGAGCTTGCCACCGGCCAAAGAGACCACCATCAGATAAAATTAAAGATGCTTATTCAGAACCTAGCACTTGGCAGAGTCCCCATTTCAATTACTATATAATTGACCTTAATTTCACTTAGCCAGGACTATTACACTCCCAACTTGCTGCTTCTCCAGTTCTTTATTCAGTAATGAATAAAAGACATGCTTGACTGCATTAATATACAAAGCTGATGGAAAAAAAGGAGGGAGGGTGTCTGTTGCCCATTGTCCAGACAACTTGTCTATAGGCAAGTAAGTCAAGATTCTTTATAGSAATTACTACACAAATTAGCTGTTTCAGTGGAAGGAATAGCATCAAGGTTTTGGAACTGCTTGCACAGAGCTKTAAGTGGTTCCAGTAACCCAGCCACACTGGCAGCAGCTGGATTCCCTGATGCCCATCACACTTCTGAAATACAGAACAGGATCACATTCCCTGCAAGATGAGATGATGTGGTGCCAGAAAAAGGCAAAACTCAGCACCCAACAACTCAGCTGCCACCTACTCCCTGTGCTCTGAAAGCCCACCCTACTGAGTGATTTGCTGTGCCAGTGGTGCCATTTGGTTACACAGAAGAAAAACCAGCATCAGAGAGCTTTGTAAACAAATCCAGTGCAGAACTCAGTGTCTCCCATCGTAGTGGATGTTTYGGATCCAGGCACGTACCTGCACAGATGATGAAAGCTCACATTTGGCTTTCTCTGATGCTTCTCTCACTCTCTGAAGCGCCATGTTGTCTTTAGTCAGGTCAACACCGGTCTGAGTGACAAAAAAAGGGTTAACAGACTCYCAGCATYTGCTCAGGAGTCACTTCATTACAGTTCACCCTCTCAAAGCTCTTGAGTGCAAAGCTATTTTAGAGCAGACTGCTGTGTGCACTTGTGCTGCTCTCTACCTGCAGAGGTATTTAGCATTTCAAACCTGCCAGCCYTCTCTGCTCTGCAAGTGATTGTACAGTGAGTTACAGATTAAAGCCTGGAAAAATTGCTACATCACACAATAAAAAGACAGGACTGAATTAGCAAAGAGTTGGAATTACATTGCAGCTTCCTCCAGGCAACCCTGGTTTGCATCTGTCCTG